TGTAAAGAAATGTCTCAAGACAAAGACATATTTAATGCTTATTTTTCATCCTTTACAATTTTAAATTATTTGTTACAGTATCATTCTTCACTACACGTTTTCACAATATAATATTTTACAAATAAATTAATAGAGTTTCTTTACTTTTTAACCACACATTCTTAAAAAAATATTATTCAAAACTCTTTAATTTTTTAAATAATGAGCGACAAACAGAAGCAGAGTATGACGTTAATAAAAAGACAAAAGTTGACCATGAAATGAGACAGACAAGGACTCGCAACCTCTAGTTTGATGACAATGATGAGACATATTTATAAATTTCACGTGTCTTGATTTTTTCACTTAATACGAATCATATCCATTTTTTTATTTTTTTTTCGCAAATAACATGTTCGTCATTATTCATTAAAAGAAAAATAAATATGTACTCAAAATACGGACATTTAGCCTTATTCGGCCTCCATTTTTTAAGATTTATTTTCTCGCAAACTCATTTTTAATCATATATTTCATAGGACCGTAACTTTTATCAATATTTAAACCACAAATTTTATTGGCTTAATATATACAGAAATTTAATATACATCAAAAAATAAAATTATGAATGGGTATGAGAAGCTCTTAATAGGACAATCTTTGTAGGGTTAGCTGATTTTAATTTTGGGGGAGCGAATCCTAATCTTCAGCAATCTATTTAAATTAATTAAGCTGGCGGTTCAACTGTCGATTTAATTTTTATTTTTAAACAAGTATTTTAACTTGATTGCATACAAAAGCTTCTTTGTCGTTGAAAAAGAACCCCAACAATGACATTTACAATCATTTATCAAAACAGTGTTCCTTTAATTAAATAATATATAAGAAATATCATTCAAATATAATTTGAAACTCTAATTATATCAATTTAAAAATAAATCTTGGACTAGCACTAGATACCTTAAGTAGAAATTTTAATTATACTATACACTTGGTGATATTTCATAACCAACTGATATGCACCTCTTAAACCACTTAATTAAAAAAAGAAAAGAAAAAAGAAAGAGAGAACCCCAACTTTAAATGTTTGATCCATACTTGTAGCTAGCATCAAGATAATCTTCTATCGCTACTATAAAAAGTGAAAACATCGAAGATTGATGATAACGGTATTGATCACCACATTGCTCAACTAATAAGATTGGATAATGCTACTCATCATTAGTAGTAATCATGAATGAATAGTCTCACTACCATCGGAACTAATGATCATCACCAGTAATGAATAGCATTACTTCATAAAATTAAACATTTTTGAAAATTCCTCTATAAATTCGAAAAATATTGAACGAATGTCTCTATTAGTCCTTGCCGCATCGACTAAGAGTATTAGACTCCAATTCCCTATCGAAAAACTGAAGGTAAGCTACGACTAACACACGATGATGATATCAATATACTAACACAAATCCAAATGTCCGACACCAATCACCATCAACACACCTACTCTAAAGATTCATCCAAACAAGATTCTATAATAGCATCATATATGTCGTCCAATGGTCGTGTGCACATTGATTGATTAACTAGTTTCGTCTCATTTATGCCTAATAATCTAATATTCACTAATTAAACTTAGGTCGATTACTTGTTAGCATCTTATTGGGCCACTTGGCTTGTGTTAACTCATCAATCTTATTATAATTTTTTATTGGACAAAATTGGAGCTTTGCTATTTAACTTATGTGGAAAAATGGCAAAACATATTACAGTAGCATTCTTCATGAGGATGAGTTTGGACAATGGATGTGTTCAAATCAAAATGGCTTCATTTTAAAGGTTATGTCCATTTTTTTACCTTTTTTATTTATTATATTATTGGTCATGT